AACCTGATGCTGACTGTGGAGGCTGAGCCCATACAAAAATCTGGCTCATCTTGTGTAGGAATAATCGAAACAGAACTAATGTCCCCCCAAGTATTTCATATCAAATATGAATTTTCCCCTCTATTCCCTAATTAAAAACTGAGGGAGAGGGGAAAGAGGAGGAGGAGGAGGAAACTAATAATGTCAGTTACACATTTAGCTTAGAAAAAGGAAAAGCACATTCTAATGCATTTGTGGCCAATAAGTAGAAAATGATTCAGGCTTAATAAASCTCTTTGCTGTTAATCTCTGTTAACCTAGGGGCTCTGTTACTTGCATCAAAACATCTCCTAACTTTCTGTTGTGTTATTGAAAAGGATGAGCTTTCATTATTCTGTTTTTGCAGGGGCTGTTGAACCTGCAGCCTCTGAAACAATTGGAGTGCGGGGGCTTGGCGCGGCTCCCRCACATGGTACAGTCTCCTTGTGGGGGCAGTAACAGTGTTTTATCCCTGTGATCCTCCTTCGTGCACCCCACAGGCTTAGRAGAGGCCACTGAGGAGACCCCAGGCCACCTACCAGGCTTGCAAAGGGCTGGCTGCGGCTCCTGGCAGTCCTGCTGTTCCCTGTGCAGGGGACTGGATGCCTCCTGCGAGAGCCAGGACACCTGGACACGGTGCTATGGAGTTTCCTCTAGCTGGGAGGGCTGTGCTGGTTTGCWTGTAAAGGTGGTACAGCATTCCCAATGGAGGGATGTTTGGGTTGATTCCTGCCATCCAAAGAGCTGAGGGTCAATGTGTGCATGTCTAGGTGGGACTCCCACACAGAGCACCCAGCAGCCCCTCAGCCTCCTCCCTGGGGAGCCGCAATAGAGCGGATGTGCCTGATGAGCACACGCTGTTAAAAACATATTTTTCCTTGCATGATGATCAGMTTTCTCATCCCGTGGAGTAATGCCAGAAGTTGATGTAATGCTGTCGTCAGAAAGGAAAGGGGGTTTATGAGAGACAGTACAGATATTTCTGACCATCCCTTATGCCTAATGAYTTTTTCTTTCCAGCAATGTTGTTCCCCACCTTTTCCCCTGCCTCTGAGTTGCAGACATCCGAGGATTTTTCCCTTTGGACCGTGCCATTAGGTTCCCCTGCTGCTGGGAAGCAGCCGTGGCAGCGGCCGCTCCGGCGGGGAGCCCATGCGGAGGCCACTGGGGAGCTCTGCACCCAGGGGTCCTGGCCTGCCAGGCAGGATGCAGAGGAAAGAGGAGGAAAATCAAGGTTCTGGGAAGRATCTAGTATCAGCAATATCTCACATGGGCTAGATGTGCCTCTACTGACTCCCAAAGTAAGTAATTCCCCAGGAAGCTCAGCTTTTCAGCCTGGCTGGATRAGAGCTCTTCTCTCTGTGACCGTCTGTGTCTTAGATCTTCTCTTCTGGCCCAGCTGGACCCAAGTTTTGAGAGAGAAAACCAGCATCTCTGGCCAAGACCTCTGCAACTCATGAGATTTACGAGAGAGATTTGATCTGATAACAAGTCCCTCAATGGAAATTTCCCCTCTGACTTAATGTGTTGGATTTTTTTTTTAACCTCTAGTCAGAAGTTTTATGTCATTAGCTCTGTAAATCAAACCATGGGTCTGAAATCCTTTWATTTTCTTTATGAGAGAAAAAGATATTTTGAATTCAGAGATGGATAAAAATTAAAGCATGAACATCATCTGGCTGAATTGTAAGGCCTTTATAAGATATTCAGAGTGAAGTCTGTACAGCTGCACAATGTTATTCTTGCCAATATGCTGCTTTTGTGCAGCGCATTTACAGGCACGCTACTTCTCTCTCTTTCTGGCCCATGAATTTTGAAATATTATGTTTGCATAAATTTGCCTATTTCTCATTTAGTTTATTTGACAATGCTTTTATCTCAGAATCAAACATTTGAACTTCCTCTGATTGCTCTGGAAATCTTACCTGGTAAATCAAAATCTTTCAGAGGTCGTTTTTGCTTTCACATCTTCCTTTTTATGAGGTCCTAATGCATCCAGAGCCTTTGCTATGAACCATCTCTCTCTGTTCAAGCGCTTAAAATGCCGGAGGGTCTTGTGCAGGAACAGGGCAGAGGACAGAACAGGAGCATCACTCCACTGCCCTGAGAGCACAGGGCTTGCAGGGGCTTGGGATGAGCCAGAATGTCATCAACCAACCCAAATCACATCAAAACCAGGGATATTTCACTGGATCACTCCCCACCTGCACTAACCCCCAGTGGAATTTAGCAGAGCAAAAACCTGACTGAATTTTCTAGTGAGAGGGAACTCCAGGAGTTTCCAGCCGCGGTGTTGGACCCTTGTCAGGAGCAGGGTGGCAGCTGGGTGGCCAGCAGCTGGTCCCTAACCCTTCAAGGCTTTCTGTAGTTGGGAATGTATCTTGAGAGCACATTAAATAATTTTATGGTCTTTCTATGCAATATAATGGGAATTCTTCCAAGTTGAAAAGTTTTGCAGGCTACCACCAGTAACAGAAAGGACTTGAGAAACTCAGTCTGAGTGTGAACACCCATCCTGACATAAAGAAGAACAAAGAAATGCACAGAGAGGCAGCTTTCCTGGCAGAATACAGTATCTAGATGGGCTTCCCTGCTTCGATTTCAAACTGCAGGAAGCAAGTAGCTGCAGGAGAGCATTTGCTTTAGCGTCAGAGCTGCTCATGTTAAAGATCAATAGATCCAACACTGCATTTAGTGTCATACAAAATGCTGGACCAGGCAATTAATGGTAAGGCATCCAAGTGTTAAAGGAAATTCTCCTATTTTCTTGTTTGTTGTTTAACTAAGATATTTCATCTTTAGAAGCAGTTATGTTAAAGATTAATACTCTGTTCTTGCCAGCTGTTGCCCATGGCTTGTTAATGCAGTGTTAATTTTATATGAGGTTTTTKAGGGAGGGGAGAATTTTGTGTTCCTGGCTCATTTACTCAGTCTGTAACGCACAGGCTACTGGTGCTGAGAGTGACTTTTCCAGCAGCACCAGTGCCCTCTGAGCCATCAGACTGCATCATTTGGGAGCAAAGAGGCTGATAGTGGCCTCACTGTGAAAATTTCCAGACTCCACAGAACCAGCTTTAGAATTGCATCCATCTGGTTTCAACTATCTAAGAGGTAAAGGACTAAATTTACTGAAGGCACCAAATCAGAAAGCAAACATTAGATGCACTCGGCCACTTTGTTTCAGAGCACCTTAATAATGTTCTGTGTTCAGTRGCAGCAGCAGTCTGTGCCACAGTGTCCAAAAAAAAAGTTGTAATAAAAGCTCAGATGTTTTTACTTTATCTTGTTATGTATGTAGATGCCTGTAATACCTTTGGCCAGTCCATGAGAAAATTGAGGTGACATGAATTTATGGTTTGACCGAGCAGTGGATTTCCTGCACCAAGGAACACAAGTTTTGATCTCGAGAGAAGTACTGTCCTAAGCGTAGAGTGGCTTTGCACCAAAATGACAACCTTTGAAGACCTCCAGGCCATACTTTTCAACCACAGAAAGGTGATTTGGAGCTAAAAGAACTTGATGCTGGGATTTCTGTCTTCACCCAGGCTCACCAGGGACTGAGCTACACGTAGAAATGGGGGTGTAGGAAAAAATGTCAGAGGTGGAGATGACATCTACAAGGGAATTCTGCAATGCTCTGCAAATGCAGGAGGCCAAAGCAATATCTGCTTGGGGACACAATGTTGTTTGGTGGAGCCTAAGGTTTCAGCCCCTTTCAAGTGCTTTGCTCTTGTTGAAAAACCTCTTTAATTTTATTAGCCACGTACCTCTCTACTTGGATGCTGCAGAGCAATCACACCAGCTTGAAGGCAGAAGGAACTGATTGCGCTGATTGTGGTGCATTTACCTCCTCGCACCAAGTTGTAGCTCTTCATTATTCAGTGTGATTTGAATATGCTGTGAAAAACACTGCAACTCTTCAATTACTAGCATCATAATGGATTGGAGATGCAGGCTTGCTCTAACAGTCCTGGGCTGTGAAGCTGTAAACGTAGCCGGGGGCAAGTTCTGTTGCGATAAGCTGTAACTGGCACTTGCATATGTAGAATGCCACACAAGGATGTTGTGTAAAGAAAAAAAAGGCAAATTACTATATACAAAGAAAGCCATTTTTTTTTCTTACACTATATATCTCATGTTATTTTAAGTGTGACTTAAATACCCATGAAAAATCCCATAGAAGTTTCTTTAGAAAATGGCCACTCTTAGAACGCATTTCAGGTGCTTGTCATTAGGAAAACAGCCTTTCCAGGAGCTGTGTGTGCTCAGCTGCGCCCGAGCCGGGGGCGCCTCTGCAGACTTTGTTGCCTGGGCTTGGCACTCTTCCTGCCACAATTAAATCTGTTTTGCAGACTCGGGCTACAGTGTCACCTGGGGAGGCTTCCACAAATCACCAGTAGGGCCAATCTGGCCTGCGAAACACGATAGGCAGTTGGAATCTAAATTACTAAAAGTACCAGAGGAAAGCTCAGAATTTATATCAGATATAATGTATTACGAGTGAGATTTATAAAAGGATTACAGAAAGCAGTTAGTTAATGCTAGTGGCAGTAAACATGGATTAAAGTATTTMTGTAGCTGTAAAAATATGAATGATGGAGTCATTTGTTTGGTTATGTAAAGAAGCTGCATGCTTTAAATGGACGACAAACAGGACTTCTATTAACACTAATATTTTATAATGTCTGTATATCAAAATCCTCCCATGCCTTTCACTTGCGAGCAAAATCCTGCTGTATCTAATCAGTGCACAATACAGAATTTCCTCAAGTGACAGACGTGCTCACGAGGGGGTAGGGAACCCAGCAGTGTCCCACCTACCTACCTCCCTTCTTCGAGGCTGTAGCTTCTTCCTTTCCCTCCCTTTCGGAAGGTATGTGATGGCAGTTACAGGAAACATTAGCAGTAAACTGCATTGTGTTTTTATATTACTCTTCCAGTTATTGCATTTCTTCTAATTTTGCCCTCTGTGCAGTGTCAATTTACAGGAAGGTAAGGTCTTCATTGAAGAAGTGATCAAACCTGGGTGCTTCCTGACTCTGACATTTGTGCAGTCCTCTGATCGTCAAAGCAGAACTTTGGGACCGATTCCTTCCCCTTGAACTTCATGGATTTGGGCAATGCCACCAGATCTCTTGAGTCTTGCTGCTCCCAGACTTCTGGGTAAGTCAGATCTGTTGCTCCTCACATGTTTAGGACCAAGGTAGAAAAAAAATGTTTGCTAAAATATTCAGCAGAGAGGATTGAGAAGCACAGCTGCCCACTTCTGTTCTTCCTCCGTTCCTGAGGTAATCGGTCACGCTGCACATTGAATAGCTCCCAACAGCTGTATGTTGTCTTCTGCTGACAGCAATACATTTTTGTTGCTGGTCTGGGAAACTGGCTGTAGTAATAATTTTTAGTGGCCAATACATTCCCCTCCTTAGACCATGCCTGTTACTGTGCGAGTTTTGCTCCTCTTCCCTCCTATAACAGCTTCGTCCCACTAGAGTGCAGTGACACAAGCTGCTTGGTTTGCGTTTGAACTTGGTCTTTTCTACAAAACTGGAGTGTGTTTGTGTGCACGATGACCGTCCCCCTCTGACCTGCTGCAATGCTTCTAGTTTGCTGTTCCTCTTCGACGCTGCATCCTTAAGCTGAGTTTCAGCTTCTGTGAGCAAGAAGCTGACACACAGCTGGGCACCTGCTTCCACAGTGGGGAGCTGCAGAATTTTGGTCATCTTTCTGGCTTTGTAATTAGAGTCATTTCAGCGCTCACACAAGGCTTCACGTGGTAACTTAAGGAGTAGCTGCATTGGCAATCAGAAAAAAAGGCAAAACAAAAAGCAAGCRTGGTATAGCATATTGAAATAATGCTAAAATAGTGCTAAGACATTATATAACATTGAAAAGACACTATGATTATTTCAGATCACTAGCTGAAAAGGATGTAGATCATGCAGGAGGAATAGAGAAGGGGAGCGTATGTTTGTGTTGCGAGGGACAGATGGGGAGTAGCTGCCAGAGGGCTACCTGAATAGCAAAGAGGAAGGAAACAGTCCCAGAGGAAGGAAACACTCCCATAAAAAACGAGCAGGCAAACAAACCAACCCCCTGGGCTGCTCGAATGGGAAGGGGCTTTTCCCATCACAGAAACCTTCTTGCTTCCTCCAAGTAAGAGGAGGGGAAAGATGATAGTGACACCTGGGGTTTATTATCCAACTGTGTTGAAAACAGAGCTGTTTTTGAAAATGTATGGACAGCAAATAGAGCATCCATGCAGGATTACAAAACCATGAGATGTTCCCTGGATTCTGCCAGAAAGATTCCCCAAGGTTTCCCACCTCTTCAWTTTTTTTCTGTACATTTCTAACCTAGTTTCTTTGTGTATTATTAAGGCAATATTAGCGTGCATTCTTCAGTCATTAAACTGTGATTCACGTGTTCTTGGGGCTTTTTCAGACCATTATTTAGAACTATTTTTCCATTCGCTTTGGGAGGAATTGTGCTATCTAGAAGTTATTGCCCTGCTTTCTTGTGGGCAGTGTGGGAGGGAATGTACCTTATATCTGTCCTGCCCCAGATTAGTGCTGGTGCCTGCCCACTCAGAAATTTCTCTCCTCTGCTAACGGTTTTAACACATCATTTATTAACAGTGGTTCAAATATTAACAAGCAGCATGCTGGGCATCTGTGCCTGCAGGGTAACGTCTGTAAAGTATTTAACCTAAATATATCAAAGGGACAGCACAAGAGTGGCTAACGGTACAGAAAAAGCTGGTTATAATTTGCTGATAGGAACTTGTGATAAGGTGTATAATGTCTGCTTGTGTTTGCACTGAAACTCGACCAGGTGCTCTGCACTTTTTGGGAAATCTGGCAGCAGTTTGTACCAGCAGGCAYGTACTAACCTTGCTGTGGAGCGCGTGTTTCTGGCTTTGCTGGCAGCATCCCTTATGGACATGTGTTTAGAGTGGGTAACAGTGGAGTAGCAAAACGTAAATCTTGATGTTTCCAGACAACCTCACCACAGGATTTGGGAGGAATCGGGAGCTTTTCAGATGGTGCTTCATCTCTCAGTGTGCTTGCTGCTATGGAGCCCCCCACTACTGCTGTGGAAATGCCAAACTCGGTGAGTTTCAAGGAAGAAAACACCTCTTCTGATAAGAAAAACATACAGACGTGTTATAGAAGGTTTGAAAGATATAGGAATATATTTAAATTAGAGCTTTGGGGCCCAAATCAAATTCCTGCTGGATGCATGTTGTTCCATAGTTTTTCATATCTTCCTCTAAATCATGCAGGGTGGGCTGCTGCCCGAACAAGGACATTGGACCAAATGCCTCTCCAGACCAAATCATGTTTTTGCATCCTTATTTCCATGTGAATATGAAGTACAGGCTGATTTGCCAGACCACTGGAGTGTGCGAAGGATGCTGAAGTTGCCAGTCCTCAGAAATAACCTGGTCTTTGTGATGAGTTTATATCAAGCCTTTGACCTTAGCCAAATTCAGTGCATTTCTCAGACAAATCTCATGACCTGCCCGGACTGCACATGAGTGTTTTATATCTCTGGAAATCTCCCAAGTCAGTCCTCTTAAGTGCACATCAAATGCCACGGAAGGAAAATCAGGACTGCCAAGGGCTGAGTGCTCTAGGTCTGACCCTAGCAGAGGTGTCACCCCATGGTTACGTTCAAACCTGTGAGCCACCAAACTGTGGGTGCAGATTTAGCAGCCCTGTAAGGAGAGGGCACCTGCCTGAGTTGAGCACTGCAGTGTGCTTACGTCTGCTTGCTTGCACTTTATTTTGGCACAGCTCCTTATATCCTATATTCTCCTTCCCAAATGCTTGGCACAGTTGATAGGATGACATGAAGAGGAAGACCATGAGGAGCTGATGGGAGAAACCTAAGGYAGAGAATTAGACTGTCCTGAAAAAACTGGCTTCTCTGCTAGTTTGGATTCAGAGCTCTAGCATATCAGTTTGTTCAGGTTATGTTTTCTTCAGTGGAAGATGCAGTGACATGCTGGAAAACATGATGCGTATTAACAGCAACAGAAAAATGTTTCTGAAAGCACGAGAGAGAATGAAGAAAAAAATGTATCAACTGTGTATTGAAAATTAATTCTAAGAAGCATATCAAGCAAGATGCAATAGGGAAAAGCTATATCTGAACTGACAATTGGATCAGAGGCTGTGAAGCCTGGATCCTTCAACTTTGATTTGCCATATAATTTTAAAACTCTCTGATACATTAGGTATGATGTGTGGCTGGTTTTGGAAGAAGAAGCTTTAGATTTCTTAAATAAGACACCAAGTCTCTATGGTTAAAAAAGAAATCATACTTTTTTCAGCTGTGGAGGGCTGAAACATGCCATACTATCCAAATAATAATTCCCAAATGTCACTTATCTGTCCACTGTCAGTGGAGTCAGTGGCAGTTCTGCCATTATCTTCAATAGCAGCAGATAGAATCAGTGCTAAGTGCCTTTGAAAATGCTGTTCTCAATAGCAGCCAACAACTCAGAGTTGCTACTTACGCTATAAAGTGCCCCTGGGCTTTGGCAGAGGCCACGTGGCAGCTGGGCTGGTCAGGAACACCCTTCTTTGCACAGTCCCTCTGTGAAATACCAGAATTTATGTGTAAGGGTTTTCATTCTATTTAGTGTTTTGCTGTTTCCTCTCAGCTCCTGCTGAGTTTGGAAGCTAGGGAAGAGATTATACCAAATATCTATCTTCAAAATGAAATGTATAGTCTTTCTTTGTGAACTACAAACAAAAATATTTTAAACATAAATTGTATTTTTTATAACAGATATAAAATCTGTTTTTTAGAATGACACAATTTCTGAACTTTCTTTTTTTTTTTTTTTTTTTTTTTTTGAGAGGACACCTGGTGCTCCTGGAAGGTGCACAGGACACCAGTCTCTTCTGGCAAAGCCGCAATGTATGTCACAGAGTATCAGATCAGTCCCAGGGATTTCATGCTCAGTCACTTTTTTTGGATCAGACTGGAACACTCCGTAGCTTGCCAGAATAAGCACATTTGTGTCTAGAGAAAAAAGCTTGGGGCACTGTGGGGGCAGATCACTGAATGCTTTTTCTTTCCTGGAAAGTAGAGCAGAGCATCTCCCGTGTCTTTCAGTGTGATTCTTAGGGGAGAGCCTTCCCCTTGGTGGTGTTTCCAGTGCTGTATCTACTCTTCCTTCAGCCGTCCCAAGCCACGATGCTGCTCTTTATTTCTTTCTAATCTACAGAATCTCAGCCAAGGAGCTTATCATGATAGCAATCCCCTTGCAAGCCCCCCGACTTCTGGAGTTGCTTTCTAGTGGTGTTCTCAGAAAACAAAGACTATGGGATCTCGCCGCGCATCTGTCCAGATGTTGCAGATTTCAGCTGAGCTTGGTAAAGCCCTTGGAGATGATTATATTCCTACAGATTTTGTAAACTGATAGCTGTAGGGCCGTGAGGGAGAGATGTGTCAGCGCCTGGGGAGGGATACCTAATTCCACCTCAACCCCACAGAAGACAGTAACTACTATAAAAACTYTGGATGGCTGAGCAGTACTGAGGGGAGGAGAACTGGGATACCAAGTAGGATGATTGTACAGGGGAGACAGGGATACTACCTGGCTTGGGAGTTGCAGAGCATGGACATGGACTCTGCAAGAAAGCAGGATGCTCTTAATCCTAACATTCATGGGACAATCCCCTTCCCATGCCTTCACGTTAGTCCTAGGGAGCCTCATCAAACAAGGCCATGGACTGTCCTTGGAAGAAGGCCAAGGAATGTTACCTGCTGGCTTGCAAAAAACCGGAGGTGATTTGCCCATGCAGAGACTTGCCCAATAAACAGCAAATTGATCTGTCATTCTAAGTACATTAATTCATTTTTTAAATCTTCTAATTATTTTCTTTTTTGTGTTGAGCCTATTCTCTCTTAGGAGATAGATGCAMCCCGACTTCTCAAAGGAAACCCACGGAGCTCAGGAGCTCTGCAGCCCTGGCTGCCGTGCTTGCTTTCTGCCTGACGGCTGGTTTGGGCCTCTTGACTGCATTTTTAGGGCTGTAATTTTACAGCGTGTCAGGATTTCACATCTACTTCACTTCTCTTCATGCTGCCAATTGTAGACAGCTGACCAAATGGAAGTTTTATAGAAAGTTTTTTAGCTGTGGGATTCCTTTGCCAGCTCGCCTGTCATTCTCCTCTCCTGTTTACTGGTAAGAATTGAAAAGCATAACAATTTTTGAAGGCTTTGCTTTTAAACTCTGCTCTTGTTTTCCCTCTGTGACTTGTTTGACAGACTCTTCTGATGTATATTTTAGTATAGGTTGATGTGAAGCTAATAAGGAGACAGATATTTATTTAGCAAAATATGGGTTCTATTTGTAAAATTATTTCCTGGCGAGGAAAACATTGCTTTCCTATTGACTTACATGCTAGATTTTTTTTTTTAATGTGCATTTCTTTACAGTTCAGTTCATGTGCCTTATAATGCTACAGWTATATAAAACAGCCAGTAAACCCCAACCACCCAGCTCTAGAGATCATTATATGTCACAAAAAGATCCAGCTGTAGCATTCAACTGTTGCTGTAAGTCAGGAAATGGATTTACACATCRTAAAATAAGTTTATAAATATCATTGTTCATTTATAAATCTAAGTGCTAAATATTAAACAAACAAACAAAAGGTTTATAAATGCTAGGCTGTACTTTGAGATACCTATTAACTGATTTACATGAAACAAAGCTTGAAGCTCTGTTGTTTTAAGCTTTATATAGTTGTGCCTTCCATATAAATCCTGGACCCTGTTGCATGCAGTCTGTTTAGATGTATTTTTATCACTTCATTTTCTAATATTGCCTTTGACAATACAAAACAACAGCATTAATAGAAGTGTAGCTAATCTGTAGCATATGGTAAATAAACTGTTTTCTTTTTTTTAATGAGAGCTCTGTGTTTGTCTGGTTGACACACTGTGGTTCAAGAGCTCGATTCTACTCAAGGATGTTATTTACTCTTACAGCAGCCTATAATTACTGCATGTCATGCAGGGATAGTGATAGATACAGCGGCGCTGGAATCTAGGGACTGCTAAATTCATGAGCCACTCAAGGGTGTCTTAGAGGAGGCTGATCCTCGAAGTGASTGATGCAGACACTCCAGAACACACCTAATACAGGGCCTGAATGGAAATCCTGGTGTACTCGACCCCCTCTGCAAATGTTGGTGGGCTTGAAGGCTTGAATATCAATTTCATTTGAGAACTAGTTCATGTTCACATTGTGGTAGGTCAGTTTATGTAATTATTCCACCCTCAGGATAATTCTCCCCACAAAAGGCAAGGRTATCATGGTGCTCTCTGCTACAGAGCAAGAGTTATAGAGTTAGTTACATAGACTTATGCCAGCAAGGCAAAAGTTTGCTCACTATCTGCAGGAGCAGAAACTGATAAAGGCAGTCAATGTGGTATTAACATGCTCTTTATTTTATCCACTTGCTGTGTTTATTTCATTTCTACCTTAATCCAAGTCGTGCACTGTAACTCTGGAAGGGTGGATGGTGCAGGCCTGCAGGTAAAATCTGCATCATGGTGCTGGGAGATGCTGCCTTAGCGCTGTCCCCATCAGCCCCTTCCTCGTTTCCAGCTCGGCAGCGATGTTGTTTTTGATTAAGCTCTGATTTGTCTGGAAAGGTGAGTCACCTGTAATCAGCGCATTAAATGAAAGTCCCAATTTGCTATTGAGAAATAATCAAATTCAATAAAAGCTTAATTCCACATTTACATGTCCTGATGCTTTCAGCTCTATAATCACCGTTCCCTGTCAACCAAGAGAGTCTTTTCATTTCCTGGTATATGAATATAAACAACCATGTAAGGAGCTGCAGACAGACACTGGTATTGACTTTGTTCCTCTGGTAGATCACTGCATTTTCAGGTACTTCTTTCCTCTCAAACCTGTTTTTTTATGTTCTTTTGATGTTATTTTATAGAATAAAAGATCTAAAAGTGTCACATCAGTCAGTGTTGATGCCTTGACTAATCTGGTCTACCGGYAAGGGAGAGAAGTCAGCATCCAGCAGGTATTCAGACTGTCTCCTGACYTATATTTGGTGCTATCCCAGTATATTTACAAGGAATCTGGTGTGGGGATTTTTTGTTGTTGGTTTGTTTTTTTTTTCTCTTTATTTGTTTGCTTTTTAAATCATTTTAGCCACTTATGAAGCTTTGTGGAAGCTATGTAAAGTCAAATGCCTCCCTAGTAATTGAGATGTTTGTTTGCAAAGGAAAGCCCCAGGATGCCCAGAGAACAGGCATATTGAGGGGCAGGAAGAGCAATTTACTGGCTAATTCCTTACATCTCGCCACTCTGGAAAACAAATGGGAACTGGTGCACCTCGTGTGTGCTTTTTTTACAGTCAAATTCTGTTTTGGTCAAGATAGTCCTCTGAATGATTCAACGAAAAATAAAAACTAACAGCAAGGTCGTTTTGCAAGCAAAATTCCCTTAAGATGAACTTTATTATATATATTTGTATACGATAGRGGAAAACAGTAGATTAGCTTATTGGAGAGAAAGATCTGGGTGTGCGTTTCTGTGTAGGTTTGAATGGAGTGGCCGTTTATTGCACAGTGGTGAGTAGTGTAGGTAGGAT